ATACAAAGCTGATCTGTTTGCTAAATACTTTTCATTAATCTCATCTCTTGATTCCACTAATCACATCCTACCTGATATAGCCGATAAACAGGTTGATCCATTGCTTGAAATCAGAATCACTCCAACCACTCTGTATCTAAATTAATTTCCTGCTTAGGCTCTTCTACAACTTGTGGTCTAGACAACATACTTGTTATAGTCTTGATGAATTGCTTTCCGGAGCTGTGGTCTATACTTTTTTTTTTCTTTTTATTATTTTAGATGCCCCAAGAAGACCTAACGGTTTTGTCACAGAGCACCGCGGAAGTGCATTCAACCAGGAAGTTCACACCTCCTTTCTTACCGTGACGCGAAAATATGTCCAGAGCTCGTTTCGAACCTAGATCCCCTGCTTATAAAGTAAGCGCTGTAACCACTGCGCCGCGCTTTCAAAACAATTTAACAAGTGCTTATAAGAGTCTTGTTTTTCAGCCTGCTGGAAAGCGGCATCTGTTATCCCAGTTTTCAAATATTACGGAGAGCAATCTGACTTGTCTAATTACTATCCCATTATTCTTCTTCCTATCATAGCTAGGTTTTTGATTCTTTATTTTACAAAGACTTATTTTTATCTTTCATCTTATATATCAACATTTTTATCATCAATATGGATTTCAATCTTCTTGTTTTACTGCTGGTTTGTTAACAAGAGGTTTTATTGTGTATTAAATAAATAAGGAGAAGTTAGGTCTATTGCTCTCAAAATTTCTAAAGCCTTTAATAAAATTTATATGTTGGTCATTTAAATGTAATTAAATAAATTTAAATGTTGGTCTTCTAAATAAGCTCTCTTTATACGTTTTATCATTTACGTATTATTACTGTGTAAAAAGAAAACATAAACAAAAAAATAAAAATAAAAATAATTTTAATTAAACTTTACAACAAAATTAGAAGATTTTTTTTTAAATTTTCCTAAAAAAAAAATTTCAACCTTGTCAAACCAACGCGACGAACTCTCATCGGGAAAGCGGGAAGTTTCGGCGATATACGGTTTGTTATTTATAACCAATCCATTCATTGAGTTTATATTTTTTGTAAAAATCAAGAAAGTAAAAGACAGTAGAGATCCAAGACCGAGATCAATACCCTAGGCTTTCAAAATCAATGTTAAGGCCAAGACTTTAGGCTTCAAGACCAATGCCAAGATCAAGACAATTAAAGAGTCTCGAGACCAAGCTTTTGGTCTCGAGACCAACATCTCTGCCATTGATGCAATCAACTCTTCCTTATTTCCTGCCTTATTTCGTTTTAATGATTTAAACGCTGTTTCAAATTCTCTGTACGTTTCATAATAATTTTTCCTTTCTTGAATAATCACTTTATCAAGTCATGTTTTAAAACATTGCTTTAGTGTTCAGTTTCTTTCTCTAGGAGACCAATAACAACATATCAGCTTAGTAGAACGTTTTTAGATTTTTTATAATTTCAATTGTTTAAATCCCTTGGTATTCTTCAGAAACACTCTTCGAGTCCAATATTATAAAGAATATTTTCTTGTAAGTAATGAAGTACTCCTCCTCCCTTATTAAGATTACATTCTTGAAAAAAAATCCGAATTAAAACTTCAGAGATGGAGAAAATTGGAGAAAATGGAGATTAAAATTAAAATCAAAAAGTTCGTTAGAACACTGCGTTTCCGTTAAACAATATATGCTAAAAAAGTTTTCTTCTTCGCATAAATTAAATTTTTTTTTTTTTTTTTTTTAAATTCCGAATGTTTATATGGACGATATTAAAATAATCACTAGTTTGTTCCATAAAGGACGAATTTCAAGGGCGGATCCATAATATGTCGTAATGGAAGGGGGGGGGGGGGGGGAAGGAGATGATTTTCAGATGTAATGATTTGTAAGCAAGCAATCGCACAATTTTAAATTTTAATAAAATTGTGATGTTATTTAGACAACCTAACTATATAATTTCCGTTTTCAAAAAACTTGCTGTGTTTAATATATAAACTTACAAAAATAAAAAATTTCAAAACATTCTAAGAAGGAGCCAATCGCCTTCCCCCCCTCCCCATGGATCCGCCCTTGACGAGATTCTTCGGCTTGTTACGAAAGTTGCTTATGAATATTTATAGTTCTTTCGCTGAGGTCTTCATTAATGTAGGCATATTCGTTCCAAACTTTCATTTTTTTGTATTTTCCAAGAATTAGTTCTTTAAAGTTTAAAAATTCTTTTAAAAGTAAAGTTTCTCTTTTAAAGTTTAAATACTCTTTAATATTTGAAATTTTCCAGCTACAGTTCAAATATCAAACCTTGCCAACTCAAATGCTAAATGTGCAAATGTGCCAACTCAAATGCATACATGGCAGCTTTGAAAAAAAGGGGGGGGGGAGTGTCCACTCTTAGCACCCCCTTTCGGGACGGCCCTGTATACACTTCCTACTTAATATCAAGTTTTTCTTCCACAAATTGTTTTATTAAATCCTCGCTCTTTTTCCATGTCTCACCTTCACTTTCATCAATTGCCTCAAATTTAAAATTATTATGACTTTTATTTTTTACTTCAGTTAACTTGTTCTTAAAAATTTCATTTTCTTTATTTGATATATTTAGTGATTGTGGATTATTTTTAGTTGCCTTCACAGATTCACTTAATGTTTCATATTGATGGTTTAAAAATTCGATTGCTTTGTTTGATTTATTTATTCGATAGCTTCTTTTTCAAGTCCTTGTTTTCTTTCATATTGATCAAATCATTCACGGTTTTTTTTGTTTCTTTAATACTTGTTTGTTTTTTAATAAATGCTTTTTGCAAGGAGTTTTTTTTATTAGATTTAAGTACAACTTATATTTAAGTTTGATTTTTGTTTGTTTTTATGAAATTTTATTTAACATTTGTTTTATTTTCTAACATTTTAATTTTTTTTAAATAAATTGTTATTGCGTTTTTATATTCTAAAAGCAGAACTTAAATATCCTAAAACCTTCTCTTGCATTTTTCTAAACAAGTTTATTGTATATTGATTTATTAAATACTTTTTTTTCAGAAACACTTTCGAGATAAAATAATAAATTAGTTTAAATAATAATCCTTCTTGTTTAATTTCTTCAGTCTCTGAAATCTTTGACTACAATTATCAGTTTACTAAACAAGGTGTATGTGAATTCTCTCATAATAAAAGTGTTGCAGCTCAATGAAAATACTACTTTTCTTTAATGTAATTATAAATATTTTTGTTGCCAAATAGAAATTAGAGATTAACTTTTAATATTTCTTTGAACTCTGCGAGGCTTATACTTTCAAAGTATTGAGTTGCAACTTACCCTGTTCATTGTTGCCCCGGTGCAGGGTAAGTTGCAACATTTTATTTTTATTTTTTGTTTCAATATTGCGGAACAACTAAGCTTTATATTATATTTATCAATGTTGGTTTAGTACGTCACTAAGATCTATTTTATTACCCTGATAAAAATTTGAAAAAAAAAAAAAAAAAAAAAAAAGAAAATTATAAATGCAGTTTTTTAAATTTTGTTGCAACTAGCACCGGTTTTCCCTACATGGAAAATCCTCTGAATTTCTTGAAGACAGATTTGTTTTACCGGAGCTTTAAATAATGAAGGGAACAGTCAACCATGTAATTAATAACACGGAGATTTGGTTGCATATGAATATGAATGAGTTTAATGGTGGAAAATTTAATGGAAAATTTAATGGAAATTCTCGAAAAGTTCTAAAAAAGTGGGTAGTGTTTAATGATAAGCTGCCAATTAAACTAAAGTCTTTTGGAGAATGCTTAAGGTTGTTAAATTTAGTTGTTGAGTCTTGCTTTGGATCCGGACTTGATGAAAGCTTTCAAACTAATATCGAAAATTTAAAGGCCTGCTATAAAAAGTTGAGGTTGAACTTCATATCCTGTTCAATCATGTATCTGAATTTTCTAAAACAAAAAAATGGGCCTTGGAGTTTATTCAGAGCAATCAGAAGAAAGTGTTCACTGCCTCTTTAAACTGCTACAAGGTGTCCACTAATAATCAGGGCCGTCGCAAAAAGATTTCCTTGAAAAAAAAAGAATTTTATTATTATATTATTCTTATACGCAGGGCTGTGGAGTTGGAGTCGGAGTTGCGACATTTTCAGCGGAGTCGGAGTCGCTAAACAAAATCGCGACTCCGACTCCAATAGTAAAAATTCTCGGTATTGCACGTGCAGGTACAAAACATTCAATTAACCTTTTGTTCATACTAAACCTCTTTTTCATAATTTGTTAAAAAAAAAAAAATTTTAAATTAATGCGTAATATTTTTTAAAGAATTCAAAGAATTTTTAAAAAATTTTGCTAGGGAGTTGAAGTCAGAGTTAAAGTCGGAGTCGGAGTTGTACTCAAAAACTTTTAACTACTGGAATTTCAAGTACTTGGTCTAAATGATGAAGTTATTCAAGATAAGTTTGATGTATTTGATGATGATGAGAATGAAAATTAAATTAGTGATCAAGCTTCAATAGGTTTTTTATAAAGTACAAAAAATAGTTGTACATTTTAAAAGTTCTCTTTTTAAATGGAAACTTTAAAATGCTATTCTTAAAATAAATTTGAACGAAAGAAAGAACTAATTTTGAATTCTAAAAAATTGATGAAATTCTATGATTTAAAAACTCAATGATGCTATGATATAAAAATTCAATGATGGCTGTAATTAAAAAATATGTTAAAGTTAAAAAAGCAGTTTGTAAATCTCTGATTTCAGTTTAGAAAATATCATGTTATCTAATGATAAACTGAATATAGTTAAAATATTAGCAAAAAATTTGAAACCTCTTACGTTCTTAAGTAATTTGCAGAAGAAAAGCAACATTATTAACAGCTGATGAAAAAAAATATAATAATAATAATAAAAAAAAATAAGAAGGACCGGGAACGTAAAGATTTTTATACATAAAAAACAATGTTGTTAAAAATAGACAAAAAATAAAGCCCGATATAAAACATATTATTTAAAACTATATAAAATAATATTAGACGAAAAACTATATTTAATGTTTGACAAGTTTATGTACATTACGTTAAAAAAAATTATTTTAGATATGAGTTTAACTCTTAAAATTCGTTAAAAGCTTCCATTAACTTGATGATCTTCGTTTGGTCTTTTCGTAGCAAATATTAATTAACAGCAAACAACTATGGAACAAAAGAATTCTTGCAAACTTCGTCTTGGTTGTTTTAACAAAATTATTTAATTACTTTAGCTGATCAATTTTTAAGACTAAATACTGGCTTATATTTTGTACGTTAGAATCGTTCTAAAAATATATATTCATATAATTTTTTATATATATAAAATTTTATGTAAATAAAGTACTAAAAGGTATAAATAGACAGTACGAAGATTAACGAAAATATTCAACTATCATTTCTGCTGTCTTTCTTTTGATGTTTTTTTTAAACAATTAATTTATACGTATGCGCCTTAATTGGCAGTAGGATATTGCAAATTAAACGTCACAGACGACATCACAATTTTTTTTATGGGCTATGCAAACAAACAGGGGCGATTCTAGGAATAAAATGAGGAGGGGACTAATCCTTAAAAACTGACGACTATTTTAAAAAAAAAAGAAGTTCCTTATAACTAAAAAGTTGAAAATAACCTTCTTTAGGGAAGGTGTGTGTGACCCCCTGTAAAATCGCCCCTGCTAACAAGTAAATAAAAAAGTATTAGCAATAGCCCTTAGTTTTTTTCAAAATTAATTAATTTTTTCTATTATAGCATACTTTTAGTTTGAAAAAAAAAAAAAAAAGTAAACCTGGTTATGAATGTAAATTATTTCCGATGGTACTATACACGTCATCATAATGCTGTATTTTTTTAACTTGCTTTTCAATTTCTAAAATTAAATTCATTGTTAAATTAAAATTTTTATATGTAAAATAAGCATGGTTGAAAGTCTAGAAAGATATACGAGAGAATATATAGTGTTGATGTTAAGAATATTTTATAATGCCTAAGAGGTTAGTGTCGATCAATATTTTGAACATGAAAAAAACTCTGGGTCTAGCTCTGGTGTTGATTTAAAAAGAATAGTAAAATATATCAAAAATTTTATAGTGCTGACGGTGTGAACTTAATCAACAACACGAGAGATTAAATAGTGGTATTTTTAAAGACATGGTAAAACGCACTGGGAGGTTACACAATAGGATAAAAAGAACCTTGTGCACTTAGTTATCACCAAAGTTAAATGCAAATTGTTCCTTGGGTATTGCGCATGTAAAGAACGTAAAATTAGCAAAATCAGTTCTAAACACTTAAATTAATTAACTTATATTACATAAATATAAACAATATAACTACTAACCTTTTTTCTTTAAAAGTGCATCTACTTTTTTTTTACCACTCAAAAAATCTATATTGTATTTAGTTAACAGAGATAAACCCTGTTCTTTTACAACCGGATGTAAATAACGTGAGTTTTTATGCGATTTATTTTTATTTGTTTTCATTTTCACAGTATGCAAAGCTTTAAACAGATTGTCAACTAACTTTTTGCCTGGAGTAATACTCGGATAATTGGGTTTTTTTCTTATAGCAAATTTGCCACGATGTTCTAAATTAACAAAAGATTCCTTCATATGATTTGGGTGAGGATTTGATGCCACTTGTTCATTTTGCTTAAGAAAAATAATTTCTGCCTTTCCTAAATCATCGTCTCCACTGCTTAAATCAGTTTCCTTTTCAACTATAGAAACAGGTAATACAATCCCATCGGAATTCACAACTTCAATATCTTCGCTGACATTATCTGACTTCAATTTCTTTGATTTTGGTGACACAACAAACGCATCAGATTTTATTTTTAATTTTTTTTTAGCATTTATTAAATTTCCAGATTTTTTTTCAGCATTATCAGTTCCAAAATACCCTGACGCTTCATTTTCTGGTTCCATGTAATATGAGTAAGTAAAGTTTTTTTCATTATTTTCATAAGGTATAACTTTGCCAGAGAATTCTGAAGATAACAGATTATTAATAAGTTGTTGAGAATACGATTCGTCATAACTTTCTTTGTTGTCAACTTTATCATTTATTTCTGAAGGCTTTTTTGTCTCAACATGCACACTCTTTGCAACAAGATCTAAAAATGTTTTTTATTCAGTTTTTCACTTCTTTTGTTTCTTTTTATTTTCAAAAAAAAAAATAATAATAATAATTTTTTTTCGAAAGTAGGCTTTGAATAAATTTAAATAAATTGATATAAAACAAATTTAAATAAATAAAAAATGTTAATAGAAACTAGAACAATTTAAAGAATATTGTCAATCATTTGTGTACAAATTTAAAATTTGTTATTGCCTTTTTTGTCAATATTGTCTGTTTGGTTTGCTACTATTGCAAAGTCATCTCACCAGCAGACAAAAAAGCGACCCATCTATAAATTACTTACTTTTTTCTTATGCACCCTGTTAAATCACTTGTGCAAATATAAAGATAAAGAGTATTAGAATTAGCTTAAAAGATTTTTAAATTGCAAATATTTTCTTCAAGTTTAAAAATAGCTGATTGTTTATGTAAAAATCCATTACTCTATTGAAGTTTTACTCAATATTTTTTGGAACTTTGTTACCTAAAAGCACAAAATATAAAAAAGAGAGCATTAACTGTGTAAAAAGATTTTTATAGCAGTTTAGTCTTTAAAAATGCCTTATAAGCATTTTAAGGAAAATAAACAAACATGTGAATTTTTACTATTGTAATATTTATATGTTATTTAACTTTTATTATAATATCAGTATAATTATAATATAACTTATAATATATTATATATATAACAATATGTAATATATATAACCAATACTATAATAATTGTAAGTAATATTTTCTCTAATGACAAATTCAGCATATGTTCAAACAGTTGGAGTTCAAGCCTAACTGACGTTAGATGAGTGAGTTTATTGAGTTTATATACTTTTAGTCAAAATTGGTAAGATATACCACAATAGTTTTTCAAGTTAACCAATGACTTTTTGTGTGATTTAACAACTGGTATAATGATTTTGGAGTTCATCTAAAATTAATGAAGTAATAAAAATATTTATTAGCTATTCTGTTAGAGTGTCACAACTTTTATGTTTCAAACTAATGAATTACTAAAAAGTTGATTTGTTTGATTCATGACACACTAAAAATTTTTTTGGTGTTACAATGGTGACTACTTTAAAATGAAAATTACATGAAAATTGCATTATCATACATTATGAAAGACAAAAGTTAATAAATTATATTCAATTTAGTTATTCAAGGAGTATTTAACAATTTTAAAACATAATTTCAAATTCTGTAAAAATAGTTCCATTATTTGTTCTATTTTTATTGTGAATATTCATGAGTTTGTTTTTAAACTTCTAAAATTTGCTTTAAAAACAGTTGTTGATCCTGATCTCTTGTCACATTGTTAGGTCATTAGGTCATTTATTGTTATTGTTCTTTCTGATTGAAGTATTTTTTTCTTTTATAGCATCTAATGCAGCTTCTAAATCTTTTTCATTATACGACTTTTTACCTGTTGACAACTTAAAAGTGAATAATCTCAAATAGACATATTCACATATGCTAAAAGCATCAGATTTGTTTAGCAAGAATATCAACTTAAATTAATTTCTTATTTGTTTGGCTTCGAACAATTTTAAGTTTTTGAAGTTCATTAATTTAGAATATAAAATTTCACTTAAATTTATAAACCTTGCCTCTTTAAAAAAAGAAGCAAAACTCTATTCATGTTTTTCAAAACTGCCCATAAAGCATTTTAAAAAGTAAATGCTTTATTTTTGGAGAAAAAATAATTCATTAAAAAATTAGTACACAACATTTGCCACTTGGTAAAAATGGGATCAGGAAAGTATTACAACTTTTAATCAAAATGTTTAGAAATTGTACTCAGAAACAAACCAATTGTCCAGATTTACATTTTATTTCAAATGTCAACAAATTAAAGTGACATGAGCGAGGATAAGTACTGGATAAGTGTGAGGATAAGCACTGGATAAGTACGAGGATAAGTCTTTATAATATAAGTAGAAAAGTACAGTAAGTTTTCACAGTTAGACAGTAAGATAGTACTGTGTATCTTGATATCAGTTATTACAAAAAATTTTGAAAAACAAAACTTTGTTTAAAAACCTTGTATAAAAAAACACAAAGTTTTTCAAAACAAAAATTAAATTATTATTTTTATAGATATTAATTTTATCTGATATTGAAGTCAAATATACAGTTATCTAATTTCACCTGATGTTGCAGGCTTTTTGCCAATAAAATAATCATATTCTTTTTGAGAACCTTTAGATCTGTGCTCTTCTTTAAAATTTCTATGAACCTCATTTGCTCCACAGTACTTTAAGCATAAGCATGTATCATTCATTGCTCCAGGTCCAATAACTAAATATAACTTTATTATACATACATTAAAATTTCAATGAATTATGAAAAATGAACACAATATTACTTAACTACAATATAACTTTATAAAGTGTATAAAAGACAGAATAAATACTCCAATGCAAATTTGCAAAAACAAAATCGCTAAAAAAATTAGGTCCTAATTAGAGTAATTGAACTAATAATTTGTCTAAAAAAATCAATTGTTATACAATCTATTGTTATACATAGATATAAGAATCTATTATTATATATGGATTAACTGTTGTAAATTTTCTTCCTCGAGTTTACTGGCTCCAAAGGAGCCTCTTGAAGAGGCTACTCATTTTTTGAAAATTTTATTTACATCTCTCTCTCCACCCTAAACTCTAAAACATGAACCTAGTTACAAGACTGCTACACAGAGAAAAAAGTTAAGAGCGGTATTTTTAAAGGAACATGGAAGATTTGAACATAAAAACTCTTAATTGCAAGCCAAGTTTTCTACTACTATTATATTACAACTTGTTCATATTTCCTTATAACAAAAGAGCACTTTTCTTATATGAAAATGTGAATGAAAGTGTATGCAAATATATAACTTATGCTAATTTTGATTTATAGCATTTATTTGCTGTTTTATTAAGTTTTTCTTTTCTTTATTAGTATTAAAACATACAATATGCCTTAGTGGCCTCCCAGCATTTCTGAAGTGCATCACTGTGGTTCAAATCCTTTCCTTTGCACATTTAGTCTTTTTTTAATCTTTCTCAATTTTTTAAAATAAATATTTTAAAACATTTTTAAGTTCTGTATACACAACATATATAAAATTTTATAATATAAAAAATGAACAAGAGAGAATTTTTTAAAAGGCTTAATATTTATAAAATATCAAAATACTGGGAGAAATCTGTTACACACATGTCGTGTTCGAGATCACTCATGTTATTAATGTGCTCAGGTAATTAGTGAAGTCTGCACACAAATTAAAGAGTCAACTTTCTTTCTTATAGGAAAAAAAATTTTACATTCAAACTTTTACCTTCTTCAAAATTAATTAACAGGGCAAGGGTCTTAATAAGCTGCAAATGGTTTAAAAAAAAATGATGGTCAGAAACTTAATAAAGAAAAAAGTAATAAGCTTATCCCCAATTTTTATAAAAGTTTACAATATAACAATAGGAAAATTTATGGAACAATAATTGTTAACTCAAAACAAAAGTTAATAAGACTTTTATTTTCTACTACAACTAAAAATTATTAAAATAAAATGATTATATAAAGAAATGGTCAGTGCAAAATAGACTTACCATGACCCGTAATATATGAGTCATGGTAAGCCCATTACTACACATTTTTTAAAGTTTATTTCCACATGTTTTTTAAACTTTTTATACTATTTGTAATTAATCAATACATTCACACTTTAAGTGACACATTTCAAGTGAGCATTCTAAATATTATTTAGACAAGTACTAATATCCAAACCGCTGATGAGTGAAAAAGCTTAAAAAACAAATATATACTTAAACTTGCATGTATGGAAAATGATATGGATATCCAAAAAAATTTAAAGTTGAAAAAATATTGGGAAAAAGATTCTTCATATATGAAACTATTTTTCTACTACTTTTTAAAAAATATCTTAAAAATATCTATCTATCTATCTATCTATCTATCTATCTATCTATCTATCTATATATATATATATATATATATATATATATATATATATATATATATATATATATATATATATATATATATATATATATTATATATATATATATATATATATATATATATATAGTAAGTGACTGGGGCACCAGCCCCAGCTAAAAATGAGACTTTTTTCAAACCCAGCCATGGCCCCGGATAAACTATAAGATTTAGCAGGGGCTAAACTATAAGATTTGCGAGGCTAGAAAAAAAATAATGATACTTTATATATTGTAATTTTATGCTTACATTTACTATTTATTAAATACTGGCATATATTTATATATTTTCAAACTCTAATTTACTTCCAACAAGACTGCAAGCAACCACTATTAAGTTATGAGTTACTCTAAAAAAGAGATTAAGTAAAAAGAGAAACAAGTTGAAGGTAGAACTACCAAGGACATGATGGGGATCGAACTCAGTACCTCTTGCTTATGATGCGAGTGCTCTACCACTATACCATGATCACATTACATTTACAATGTGCTTTTAAGCATTTAATTTAAAGATTAATTAAATGATTAATAAAGCAACTGCTCAAGATGGTGAAAAATATGGAGTAGAATGAGATTTGATTTAAAATTGAAGAGTAGAAATAAAAGCTTCCAAAATTTTAGTCCAGAAGGAATAAAAGCTTCTGAGATAAGCTTTATGCAAACATATTATGGATATAAACATACATGTTTACTATTTATTTAGATATTGGCATACAATATCCTTTCATATTTATATAAACTTTAGTATTTATATAACTCAGTATTTGCTGAAAGAGAAGAAGATCATGATGACAATGATGATTATGATGATCAACATGATCATAATGATATTTATATATGCATATATATACAAAATATAACATGAATTTTGAATAAAAAAAATATACTTTATGATGTATAAATGTTTATGCAGCACCGATTACAAACCCGACCCCGGCTATATTTCATCAAACCTGGCCCCAGTCACTATATTACACTATATTCTGGCCACAGATTACTATATATATATATATATAGTAATCAACCATAGTTGTTTACTATACATATATATATATATATATATATATATATATATATATATATATATATATATATATATATATATATATGTATATATATATATATATATATATATATATATATATATATATATATATATATATATATGTATATATATATATATATATATATATATATATATATATATATATATATATATATATATATATATATATATATATATATATATATATATATATATATATATATATATATATATATATATTAGGGTGGTGCACAAATATATTGACAATTTCAAAAGTTTCAAAAATCAATGTGGTACTTTTTCCTATTGTTCCTTTTATCATTATATTAATTCCTGCAAAATTTAAGCAAATTTGAATGACTTTTAGAGGTCGCTCATGGCCATGTTTCCTCTTTTAATTGCCATTATTTTCCTATTCTAACGTTACTGTGAAGTTTTTAATATGTACATTTGTTTATTTATTTTATTATGACATAACTCTTAATTTGATTTAATTTAATTAATTATGATAATTATTTTAATCGATTTTAAATATTTTTTAAATATATTTTTCTAATTTAATAGTGCGCAACTATCTTTGACAATATACCGCAAAGCATTTTAATTTTTGTTCATATGAGTGCTGATTTGAGGCTTTAAAAAAATAAATTCATTTTGTGATAACAGCTGTTTTACTCAGGTTATATTTTGATTTTCAGAAATATCCTGTAATATGAATTCTCAGTTATCTTTCCCTTCGTTTTCGAAAAAAATTGAAACTCGAACAACTACTGACATTTATCTTGTTGGGTCTGTTTCTCCAAATATTTCTGGGATGAAGCTTCCAACATGTCGTCAAGTTCTTGCAGTATTTTTTCATCTTCACAAAATAGAAAAACAAACCGTTAGACAAAGTGCAAGGTGTGTCATTCGAGAAGTATTTCATTTGTGGAATATGGCAAGAATTCCAACAACTATTGAACATAATGCAATTGAAAAACTTGAAAATATTTTTTACAAATGGGCTAAAATAAAGAAAAACACGAAACGAGCTTCGGTAACACAAACAGCAAATGAAAATGTTTTTTGTGAAGAAATTGATTGCATTTTTGATATAGCACATGCTGATGCCATGAGTTTGATTACAATTGAAGAAGACATCCATATTTCTAATAGATCAGCAAGGTGAACGTAAGGGATACATGGCCGGAGTTGACATGGCATTGGCAAAAACAGAAGAACGTGTCCAGAAAAGAAAAGAATTAGAAGAGTCCAGACGTTTTCAGGAAAAAAAGCGAAAAAAAGAAGCTGAAAATACAAGTCACATTGATTCAATGCACCTATCTGACAAGTCTACATCTGGCACTGAAACCTCAGATGAAGAATTTATGAAACCAAAGAAATCTAATCAAAATGTTGTAAAAAAGCGATCGCAATCTCAAAATATCATTTCACCTGAGTTAGCATCTGCTCTTGACCGAACCAACGTCAGGGATCACCAAGCGACTTATTTACTGGCAGCTGCAGCAAAAGGTTTAGGTCATGACATTACAGATTTTGCTATTAGTCGCGATACGATCCGGAGAGCTAGAATTACTAATCGAAACAAAATTGCTACAACCATAAAGTTTGCATTCAACTCGTCAAATGTTCCATTGAATGTTCATTTTGATGGCAAAATATTGCCAAATATTACTGGAAGAGATTCAGTTGATCGATTAGCAGTTGTTGTTACAGGTTACAACGTTGACCAGCTTCTTGGCATTCCAAAGTTAACAAGTGGTACTGGTAAAGCAATAAGTGAAAGTTTATTTTTCTTTTCAGCTGTTATAACAACTTTACTAGATTGGGACATTCAAGACCGAGTTAAAGCAATTAGTTTTGATACAACGGCTGCCAACACTGGTACCGAAGCTGGAGCGTGTACTTTAATTGAAAAAAAGCTTAATAGAGAACTATTACACTTGGCATGCCGTCATCATATGTATGAAATTGTCTTGAGTGATGTTTTTAAGCATTCTCTTGGGCAATCCAGTGGTCCTGAAATAGGATTATTTAAACGTTTTCGTGACAAGTGGTCATTATTTGACAAAAATAATTATGAAACAGCGTTAAATGATCAAACATGTTCGGACATTTTGGCTTCTCACACCATACTCAAACAGGATGCACTATTTTATTTGAAAACAATTCTTGAATCTGGTAAACAATATCGAGATGACTACAAGGAATTGTTGGAACTAACCTTGTTGTTTCTTGGTGATGTTCCTCCTCGTGGGGCTCATGTAATGGCTCCCGGAGCCATACACAGAGGAAGGTGGATGGCCAAAATTTTATATTCAATGAAAATATGGATGTTCAAAAGGCAGTTCAAATTAACGGCAAAAGAAGAAAAATCACTTCGAGGTATTAGCTTGTTTGCTAGTTTGGTGTACACCAAATTTTGGATATCATGTACCAATCCAACACTTGCTCCGTTGAATGATCTCACTTTCTTGAAGACTGTTTTTCAACATAAAGCCATTAACAATGGAATTTTTACAGCTGCAGCAACAGCATTTTCAAGGCATTTATGGTATCTAAGTGAAGAAATGGTAGCATTGGCTTTTTTTGATAAGGAGATCAGCAAGGAAACAAAAGCAAAAATGGTTTTGGCTCTACAAAATGCTGGAGAGGATGAACCACAGAAAAGAATAAAAATCGATTTAACTTTAATTGAAAATCTGCAAATAGAAAGTTTTGTAACAGAGAATACCTTAAATTTTTTCAACATTTTGGAATTACCAACTACTTTTTTGACAACTGTTGATCCTGACAAGTGGACCGAAAATGAAGAGTTTCAACAGGCAGAAAAAATTGTAAAAAGGTTACGAGTTGTTAATGATACGGCTGAAAGAGGAGTAAAACTAATTCAGGATTTTAATTGTTCAATTACCAAAAATGAAGAACAAAAGCAATTCTTGTTGCAGGTAGTCTCTGAACACAGGTCAAAGTTTCCTCTGCCACAGAAATCTTTGTTGATCGATGGAACCAAGTCATCAAAAAACGATGGAAACAAAAACCAATGAATTTTTTTTCATAGATTACAATAATTTTTTGCAAAGAAGCTGAAATATAAATGAAACCTAAAACTCTAACAATTTTTAAGATTTTTTGGAACTATTATTGTTTTTTAAATTTGTCTTTACTATAGTGAACACAAATACTTTATTATAAACCAGAAGTTTATTACTTTATTCTTCAATTATTTTATTTGTAAACAATAATATATATAATTCAGTTTAAAAAATACTGCATGGTTTTGGATTAATATACAGTAAGAGTTAAAATGCAATGTTGTATCATAATTTATTCAAAATTTGTGATTGCACACTAAAAGAGAACTCAAACCCAAAAAGTAAAAAACTTGATGTTGATGAGCAACCTTTAAAAATTATTCAATCATGCCCAAACTTCACGATTGTTATTCCTACACATAATGTCACATAAAGAAATGGTACCATCAAAGAAATTAAAAAAAAATTTTTTTTGCACCACCCTAATATATATATATATATAAACTATTTTTCTACCACTTTCTGAAAATTAATGAATGATAAATATATTATAATAATATAGTATAATTATAAGGATGTATAAAAATGGTCAGCGTGGAAGATTTCTAAGACCAACATTTTATGAGTTTGGGCAGCAAGGATATATATATATATATATATATATATATATATATATATATATATATATATATATATATATATATATATATATATATATATATATATATATATATATATACAATGGAAAAGTATAGAAAAGGTCAATGTGAAAGAGACTTGCAAAGACCCCTATTTTTAGATGTCCAAGCTAGACACACTATACAACAGGTAGTTAATATAAATAGTTTCATTATTTAAATTAAATTACATTATTATAAATAGTTTTAATTATTTACATTAATTTTATTAAATATAAATTTAAATATTTTTGAAAATTTCTATATCTTTATCTTAAAATTTTAATGTGATCTACCTATTGGGGATTTAATTTCTGCTATATCGCTACCATATTGCACAAGATCTTCTTGTATAAGGGAACGCAAGTTACCTGTTGCACCTAATAAAACATACCGATCTCCATTATTTAAATGATTGGTTAGAAGACTCCTTCCACCTGTATATCCCTATAATAATAAGTATAAAAAAATAAATTCAAATCAGAGTTAGAATTGAAAAATAGGCAGAATAAAAAAAAATTACCAAAAAAAACTACCAAAGCTGTATAAGCATTGTTCCCCATGAGTTCTCCTGCATTTCCACGAGTTGCTACTAGTAACAATTTTCCTGGCGCAAGAGAATTTATAAAATTTGTCATAGCTCTTGATGCTCCACCATCCACTTCAGTATCAAAAGATTCAGTTGAATCAACTTCTCCAGTAAAGAAGTCTAAAACAACCAAATTAAAACCAGCTTCATCCTTGCTCCAATCTTGCCCATTGACTTTAATGACTGCATTTGTGTCTGATGATTGTATGTTAATGTAACGACCAACTAAAAACAAAACTTTTGAAAATCACTTCATAAATACAGATTATGGTTAATAAACTTAAGTCTCCAAAATCATAAAATGATTTTAGTTAGGTATGCCATGAGTGCAATGTTTACAGTAGTACAGTATTTGGGAATCCTGAGTTCCAAAACAACATCAAAAGATCCTAGAGTTTAATTACATTTCAAAATTTATTCTAAATCTATTAATTGTTTTGACAATTTGTACAATTTGATATTATGACCAATTATTGATTGTAATTGTAGCCATAGACTCTGATGAAGGTAAATATAAATATATAAAAATATATCATATTCATTACAAAGAGTATGATGAATATGATATAGGAAAATGTAGAAAAACCTTTTAATTTCTGTAAATTTTAGGGTTTTGACCTTTATCTGTATCAAGTTTAATACTTATAAAAAATGAAGTAATGATGAAATATTGTAGACATTTTGAATGATAATGATAATTTAGTCCCTGGTTAAAAGACTAGTAGCAAATGTTATCTTGAAATCTGAGGATTTTTTTTTTAGTTATTTAGGTGATCCAAGCAGTCCTTATGGTCTTATCTATCACAATCAATCATTAATCAAATATATTCTAAAAATATATTTTCATAAATGTTTAGAAGAAGTAATTCTACTAAAATTACTATTTGAAAATATACAGAGCACCGCTAAATAGCATTTAACCAAAATGTTCATGCCTCCTTCATTACCAGTAATGCATATTTAGCCTGAGCGAGATTGAACCATGGATCTTAAGTTCTGAATCTTAATGGCTGCTTTAAATTAGATATAGAAGATTCAAAATAAAGCACAAAATTCCTAAGCATAAACAAGACTAATTTAAAAATTTATAAAATCAAAATCTATTTGTATAAAAACACTTTTGAAAAAATGCGCAACAGAAAAACAAAAAAATATATACATCAAAAACTTACTCAGCGTATTTTTTTTATAGCATTCATCATCACCTAAAAGTTATATATGCATATATATAAAAATTATATATATTTATATATATATATATATATATATATATATATATATATATATATATAAATTATATATATATATATATATATATATATATATATATATATATATATATATATATATATATATATATATAAATTATATATATATATATATATATATATATATATATATATATATATATATATATATATATATATATATATATATATATATATATATATATAAATTGATTAGTTGTTAATAATACTTAAGTTAATAATACATTGTCAATAATACTTAAAGTTTTGTGCCATTTACGGCAATCATAAAATTTTTTTTTTTTATGTATTTAATAGCTGACTATTAAATACATAAAAAAAACAACAAGAAAACATAGAAAAAACAGTTTAAAAAACAAAATCTTTCTTCTGACGTAATAAAAGATGTAACAATTTAGTCTCTAGTATCAAAAGAGGACAATAAAAATCGTCAGAATTGTACAGAAATGATACCAAGCTTTCTAAGGAAATTTGGAGTTTAAAAGAAAAAAGCATAAAGCACACAATAAAATGGAAAATTATAAAACGCTGTAAACCCATTAAAACTACATCAAAAATTTGTAACCTCTGCCTTCATGAGAAATTTATAATTTTATATCACAAAGAAAACAACCTGCTCAATAAAAAAGACGAAATATTATCCATGTGTCGACAATCCAATAAATTTCTACTGTCCTCTTTTGATACCAGAAACTAATTTTTTATTATCTACATCTTTTATTACGTCAGAAAATGTTCTACCATAATTTTCAACTCATTTGTGAAAGATTTTGTTTTTAAAATGTTTTTTCTAACAGTTTTTTTTATGTATTTAATAGCTGACGATTGCCGTGTATGGCACGAAACTTTAAGTATTATTAACAATGTTGTTTTTCATTTAAACAAAATTTAAATATATATACAACCACACACATGTATACATATATATTAGCCTTCACTATATCCGCAAAGTCTCTGTTTTTAGAAGGTTGCATTCAATTTCTGTTGCCTTGTACTAAGTATGATTAATTAAATACATTAATTATATAGTTTATATACATTCTCAATATACATTGAGAAAGAAAATAAACTTTTTTAATAATTTTTTTTTACTACTTGTCAGTCTTTTAAAATTTCAGACTTTTATTGGACATTCCTTGTTTTAAACAACATTGCATATGCTACTGTTAGCAATTTATCACAAATGAGATCAAAAAATATTTTTATGATAGAAAAGTCATAGAAAAGCTACTTAAGAAAAAGTCACACAAAAAGAGCATGGATGTCACCAATTCACATTATACCGCACAAATGTGCATGGATGTCACCAACTCATATTATACCACACAAATGTGTATGGATATCTTCATTATAGAAAATACTATACTATATTAACATATGGTATTTAACATATGAGAAAAGGCTTTAATTCCAATAATGTGCCAAAAAAAAAGAAAATGCAAAGCTGCAAAAGTGGTCAATAAATCAAAAAGACAAAAACTATGAAAAGTGTTCAAAAGAATAATTATTAGAACAAGTCAAACAAAAATTATAGAACAGTATTTTGTCAAAAATTTTCAAAAGAAATCAACTTCAAAAAAAAATATTCTGAAAATGTAAACTTAGATGAGTTAGATGAAACCTTTAAGGAATACAATTTTAAAAGGAAAAAGCAAAGATTTTTGTAATGTCTTTTTTTTTGCCTAAAAATATAGTAATATGCACATTAATTGTTGCAAAAAAGTTTCTAGGCTGATAAGGTCATTTAGTTTTGCGGTGGAGCATTAGGGAAAAACACATTTTCTAGAGATGACAATAAGTACCTATGACAGCTGCCACTCATTTATTGATGTAGATTGTCACAGGATTTTATTTTAAAAAATCTGGTACTTTTCATCATTCAAGAATGTCCACAACTAATAAAATCCACAGCTCGATTTAAATCTTTTTTCTGTAAACAATATGTTATTTTTTTTGCTGAACTTGTATGTGTTTTTCAAAAGTTAGAGAAAGTTATTGGTTAGCCAAAAGTTCTAGACCAACACATAGATACAAACAATCCTAATTTAACATCATTCTTATAAGAAATGAGGCACCAGAAATCAAATGATGACCTTAAAAAATATTGCAGAATATATATATATATATATATATATATATATATATATATATATATATATATATATATATATATATATATATAAACATATATATATATATATATATATATATATATATATATATATATATATATATATATATATATATAAACATATATATATATAAATAAACATATATATATATATATATATATATATATATATATACATATATATATATATATATATATATATATATATATATATATATATATATATATATATATATATATATATATATATATATATATATATATATATATATATATGAAAAATTATATGTAATTTAGAATACAATGCTTACAAATTTTAGAAACAGGTGATTCGCATTCATCATCAATCTTAGCTTTATGCTTTCTTGAAGAAAACTTTGATTCCATTGAGGAGGGAGAGTGAATCGTAAGTCGAAGTTCATTAGTTAACTTTTCTTTAATAAGATTTACTAGTGTTTGAACAGTTTCATTTGGAATTTTTTCAACAACTTGCTTGATTAATGAAGAATCAACAAGTGAAGAGTTTTCAGTGTAGTCAGGTTTTTTTTTCACGTTTGCCTGAGATATTGAACCAAAAGGACCTTGACCAGTATATTGAGAATCAAGATCAACAGTTTCATGAGAAGAACTACTTTTTGATATTGCTTTGTCTTCTTTTTCTAAAGATGAATCATAAGCAGGATTGGGGACACCAGAGTTTATATTAGAGCCTAGTGAATTAATTACTTCAAACTGTTTGTTTCCATCAATATTTTTTTTAAAACTTTGGAGATCCTCAAGTTCATCAGATTGAAGCTGGTAAGATTTTACGCTTGTCTGAGGATTACCAGCTTGCAACAAGTCTTGAATATACTTGTATAAAACTGATTGGGTTAATTCATTTCCATTTGTATTCTTATCCACATTTTGGTAATTTGTTGCCTTTGCAAAATTGATTCCAATCTCATTATTTATACTTCCAACAGCATTGCTATCAATTTCTTGATAGTCTTTATTAACACTAGGAACAGATTGATTTGTTAGTGACAGTAAGACATTATTTATTAGTGAATATGGGAGAGTTTTACTTGTTGTTTCATCTTTATCTATTGCCTGAGATAAAGGATTTAATGGTAAATTTTTTTTTAAGCTACTGAATAAACTATTTTCAATTTTATTTAAAGATGATTTTCCAGAACTTCTTAAAAACTCATTAAGTCTTAAAGAATCTGCTTCATTTATATTTTCTGAACCATCCAAAACATTGAATGCATTTGATAGCTTTAAAAGCGAACTAACTGGATTTAAATTTTCCACAGGTGAAGTTTTCATGAAACTTTCCACAGGTAAAGTTTTAAAATAATTTTCTACAGGTGAAGCATTTGAAAAATTTTCTTTAGAAGCAGAATTTTCAAAGGATTGGATTAACTTTAAAGCTGCACTATCTAACTGCTTTTCAGAATAGTTGTTATCATTTTGTGAAAATTTTTTCCGTTCAGGTTCAACTTCTACAAACTGATTCCTGAATTTTAAGTTATTCAAAGCATTTACAATATCAAGATTTTCTTGGTTATGATTTTGACTTTCAACAAAATCTTCAGCGGCTAAATTTTTATCTAAAAAGTTACTTTGTGATTTTCTATTGTGATCAGTTGTTGAGCTGGGATTTAAATTTTCAATTAATTTAGAATAAAGATTATTTTTCAAAGAATTTAAAAACTTCAAGTTGTCTGGACTACTCTGTGTCATCACCATTTCTACAATGTTTTTGTAGTTCTGTTTCTCTTTTGATAGAGCTAACTGCAAATTTTGTATTTGCTGTTCAATATCTGATAACTTTTCAGATTTTGTTTGAGTAATATCGGATATATTTTTAAGACTTTCAGGCATTTGGTTATCTGAAATGAGTTGTGTTTCGCGCTGCATGTTTTCTTCATTATTTTTGACATGAAGAGACTCATCTGACTGATTATTGTCAATGTGTCCTGGTTTATTTGAGTTACTTACTTTTACTCGTCTCTCAAAATCATTATCATTGTCTAATGAAACTTTTGATTCATCTTTGACAGCATTTTTGGAATTGAAACTTGATTTATAAAAACTTGCTGGAACTTTTATTTTGCTTTCAAAGATTCTGCCACCAGCTTCTTTAAAAGCATCAAGACCTAGTTTATAAAAATATTTAATTATATAAAAATATAGAAAACAATGTTTTTTAAATCTAATAATGTTCCTATTATATTTACATAAAACTTATATACAAAATTATTATCTTTTAAATAAATTTCTTTGATTATGTTCGTTTACATCACATGAGCAATGCAGCAGTGGCTGAGTAAATAAGTGCTTGCTTAATAAGTGAGTAATGTTTCAAGTTTGATCCCCACCATATCCCTCTGATTCAGTTGTGTTTCGGAGTTATAGGGTTGAAATAGGGTTGAAACAACAGTTGAAAGAGGGTTGCAACAACAACTAAATTTGAAAAAATAATTGAGTAGCTTCCTTAACTGTAGTTGCTTTAAGGTAAATACAGTAAAAAAAATGTAAAAAACTTGCAAAAAACTGTTATTAAAAAAGTCATTATAATAAAAATAATTTTACAGATTGTAAACTTTTTAAATATATTTAGATACTATGAATATTAGCAAATAAAATCTTTAAAACTTATATAATCTACAATTGAATAAAACTTACAATAAATATTTTCTTTCTTTTCATTAATAAACAACTTACTGTACAAAAAATACTGTATTAAATTTGTAAATTTTACAAACTTTTAATTAACAATAAAAATAATTAAAAAAAAACAAAATCATTTTGATAAAAAAAAAAAATTTATGTACCATAGTTCATATGTATAAATCTTATTTGTAACTAACTTATTTAAAAAAAAAGTTATTTATAATATTAAGGGATCTCATACTTATATAAGTTGTATATATCAAAAATGTTAAATAATATCATATACTTGTATTATTTCATATTATCTTAATCTTATTGTAATTTTATGTTTTTCTTTTTTTTAGGAAAAACTTGTGCAGCTAGGGTCAGCTTTTATCCACCCTAAATTTTTTCAACAATATTTAGTTCTAAATTATGGTACTCAGTTAATTCATTACATCAACAGTAATATTTTATCTATGTTAATGAATTGGAGGTTGTTGTTATAATTTTTGAAAACTTATAATGAAGTTTTCTAGAGGAGAAAATGAATTGGAGGAGGTTGTTGTTATAATTTATGAAAACTTTTGTTTTGGTGCTAGTATCTTATGATGTATTACAATCCTAGCTGAAATAATTTTCTATGAATTCAAAGAATATTGTTTGTTGCTTTACTCAATAATTTACTTTCTGATCAGTGTTTAGAAGTGTGTACCTTGTGATCAGTGTGTAGAAGTGTGTACCTTGTGATCAGTGTGTAGAAGTGTGTACCTTGTGATCAGTGTGTAGAAGTGTGTACCTTGTGATCAGTGTGTAGAAGTGTGTACCTTGTGATCAGTGTGTAGAAGTGTGTACCTTGTGATCAGTGTGTAGAAATGTGTACCTTGTGATCAGTGTGTAGAAACTTGATTAGAACTACTTTTTAATTTCACTCAGAATAGTCAATAGTTACTAAAATAAGCAATGGAACTAAATTGTATGCAATCAAAACTTTTTGTGCAACTATCTGATAATATGGTCTCGTTATGTCTTCGTTCACTTTCAAATCGGGTGAATAGAAAGCTAAACACACTCACTCCTTGCGCTTATGGGCTAGCACATCAGAGCCAGACGTGAGACCTACAGAATGGATTTCAATTGATCGAATGCACACATTAGATACTTTCCAGTCATGCATAACAATGTGATATTGAAATTAAATTTCAATATCACATTTTTATAGAGGAGAAAAGTTGTTAATTTACAAAAGTTCTGTTTAACTTGCAAAAATTGTTTTTACTTTTGACATAATTATATTAAATCTCTGTAATTATCATTATTATTATTATTTGTAATAGTAGTTTTTTGTTATTATTTTATAGTTTTTTGTTATTATTCTATAATAGCAAAAGGATTTTTTAAACACATATGTGGAACTCCAACCTGATGTTCATTAAATTTTATCTTAGTTCCAAATGCATTCAAATTTTTTATTTTTTCTCTTTAAAAATATTTGTTAAAAATATTTAATACTTACTCAAAACAATTTTTTTGATGCCTAGTAAAAATATTGGAAAAAAGCAACCAAAACTAAATACAACTAGTGTATATAATGCTGCAAAAACAGTAACAAAAGATAGATTTCCAGATAGGACTGCAGCACAAAAATTTATTATCAGCGTAACAAAACTGCAAAGATCAAAACTTTTTTTTTGAAAGAAAGTTTTGGAAATACTGAAATAAAATGTCAATATTTTTAACTAATGTGCTGAATAAAAAGTATTCTCTAAATATAAAGTAAAAGCCCTTGTTAATAACAATATATATATATATATATATATATATATATATATATATATATATATATATATATATATATATATATATATATATATATATATATATATATATATATATATATATATATATATTAATATAATATATATATTAATATAATATATATATTAATATAATATATATATTATGGACTGTCAAAAACACAGCTTAAAAGGCTTGCTTTTTAGTATGAAAAAAAACTTCCAATGTTCTGAGACAAAAATATTGAAGTGGTGAATGATGGTGTTCTGATTTTATGAAAAGAAATACAATTTCTTTCACTAAGAAAGCCACAAATTAAGCAAGAGCTACTGTTTTCAAAAAAACAAATGTTTATTTACTTTCTTTAAAATATCTAAAAATCTTCTCAAAATAAATGATTTTGCCTGAGTAAATCTTTAATCTGGACGAAACAAGTATTACAAATTTGCACACACAAGTCAAAGTTGTAGACCCAAAAGATTGGAAGCATAACTCCAGATGAATGAGGAACTAATATAACAATTAAAAAGTGGATGTATTCAATAGAAAATTCCACCCCCACCCCCTCTGATTATTTTTCAAGCAGTGAACATCAAAAACCTAATGCTGAATGCTAAAAAGTAATAATTGTTGTAGAAAGATGCTGTCAAACCATGGAAACCATGAAAAATTCATCATGATACATAGCAAAGAAGATAATTCTCAGTTATATAAATAAAGTCTTTGGTTCAACATATATTTTGTAAAGAAAAAAAAATTGTTAATAACTTGTTAATTAAAAAATGTAGAACTATAAAGTTTTAATTAATTTTTTAAATTTTTATTTTTTATTTCATAAACTTTTTAAGTTGTCCTTGCAAATTCTAAAAATGAATAAACTTTTTAATCACCTTTTATTACACAGTATTTATGTTTTTATTAATATAAAAATAATTATTATATTATTTTTTACTTCATTAATTACAAAAACTAATACAATTGACACATCATATTTAATAATTTACTAATTTGAATTATGTAACATAAAACAATTTTTTTTGCATCAAACTCTCATTTAAGTAATTATTTGTTTAAGTAACAGTTAAATCTTTATAGCCCCACCCCCCTTTTCATGGGGACTCATGGCTAAGTAAAAGTTAAAAATAATGTTTCATTAAAAATACTAAAATTGGGCAGATGTTAATCAAATCTAGCTAATACTTTGTAGAAAGCCTGCTAGGCATAAACATAGATAGAGGCAAGCAGAAGCAGCTTTAGAGGTGAACAAGTCAGAAAATTTCTGTCAACCTCACACATCTTCTTCTGTTATTAGACTAACATAGATGTAAGCCTGTGTTACTTTTTTTCTGCATTTCTTTTGTTTACCTTATTCCCCATTCTACACAAGACTGCATTCTTTTTGATGTTCTTTGTTGCAATGTTTCTCTAGCTGATGTCTTTTGTTGCAGTACCTCCTATGTAATTAGCTGAACTCAGACAGGAATGAAAAATCTTTATTCCTTCTTTTCAGATTCAATTTAAATCTTATTCTGTTTTATTGTTTTCTCCTTCTAGTGTAGCTTTTATTTTTTATTGCAATAATTTTTTTTATTGTTTGCACAAAATCAACTGTCTGAAACTGAAAGGTTGGTGCATTAGGGAGAAGCAGTTAGGCAAAGGTTATTTCTTTAAATGTATCAAAGGATTTCAATAATGTCTGGCATGCTGATCTTTTACGAAATCTTACTTCATTTGGTGTATCTGAGAGGTTTTAAAAATTGTCATTTTAAATGCTCCAGTTCATTTCCAATAATTTTTGGGGTACCGCAAGATTCTGTCTTTGGTCCTGTATATATATTATGTGAGCATATATATATACAACTTGTATATATATATATATATATATGTATATATGTATATATATATATATATATATATATATATATATATATATATATATATATATATATATATATATATATATATATATATATATATATATATGTCTATATATATATATATATATATATATATATATATATATATATATATATATATATATATATATATATATATATATATATATATATATATATATATATATATATATATATATATACTACAGAACAAATGGAACTCACTCCAGAAAGAACTGAAACCTTTTAGTCCCTATGTGTAACAAGATTGGAAAATATATACCTTTATATACATTTAATCCAATATAAAGTTAAAAAGAAAAACATGAAATATTTAAAACAAACATTCATTAACTCAACTTTATTATTCTTTTATACACTGTTATTTAGTTGACAAGAAGTATGACTGACTCATTTAAAAGTTATAAATTCACATTGGGAATTTTTAATGATTTAGTGAATGCCTTTGATACAATTGACCATAAAATTCTTTCTAAAAAATTGAAATATTATGGGATAACAGGCAATCTTTTTAAATGAATAAAAAGTTATTTAATTGCTTGTAAAAAATATGTTTATGCTGATAAAATAATTTTCATCAAATTTGTTAAATATTATACGTAGAATTTCTCAAGGATCCATATTAGGACCTCTCCTTATCCTTATTTATATAATTAATCTATGCAAAGCCTTGGATTTAATAATAATTATGTTTGCTGATAATTCTAATTTCTTCATGTCACACAAAAGCATTACTACTCTATTTCATTGAGTGAACATTGAACTAATCAAAATATCTGTCTAGTTTAAGACTAACAAACTATCTCTTAACATTGATAAAACTAAATGGATTCTTTTCCATCCTTTTATCAAAAAACATTCAGTGCCAATTATAACTACTTGATTTTAATAATATACAAATTAAAAAAGTAACAGTAATCAACAATTCAGAAATTCTTACTTGGAAAAATCACATTACAAACTTATCAAATAAAACTTAAAAAAGTACAGAAATATTGCACAAAGCAAAAGGTGTTTTACCAAACTATACTTTAGTACAATTATATTTATACTTATAAAAATGTACTGATTTATTAATTGCCTATGTAAACATTGCTTGGAGTAGTGGAAATAAGCATTTAGCACGTCTTATATATTTTAAAAACTGTTACTCATGCCAAGCTTTGATTATTTGGGCTCAATATTTTTAATTTTGTTTATTTTATCTTTAAATGTAAATCCAATTTATTCCCAGTTACTTTCTGTGATTTGTATTTGTCAAAAATCTAAATCTATGATAAAACAAAATCTACGAATATCTAAAAAAACAACATTCTATGATTTGTCAAAAAAGAAATACATTTTACGCAATGATAATTTTATTTAAACAGCCCATTTTTTTAACTAATTTTAGAAAATTTTGCAGACCATTTATATGGAACAAAATAGTTTAAAAAAATCTATGTATGTATGTATGTATGTATGTATGTATGTATGTATGTATGTATGTATGTATGTATGTATTTATGTATGTATATATGTATGTATATATGTATATATTTCTAAGAAAAACTACCTGTCCTAATGTGGGTAATTATAATGCTTGGACCATCTCCTGCTCGAGTTAATTCCTCTTGCAACCAGTTTAACTTGTTTCTTGCACTTTCTGGACCAGATAGTCCAACAAATGCATAACTAGCTCTATAGTCTATCTTTTGTTTTGCAATACCATGAGCACCAATATGTTCCTGAAGTTTGAAATTTGTATTGAAACATTTATCTGTTAAAACTTTTATTTTGCAATTGATTTAAAATGTTTAAGTTTGTGATTTGTAACCATGTAAACCAAGTCAAGGAATGTGACAGTTTTATGTGCTTGTTAGATTTTGTATTACTCCTTTATCTGTTTTGTATACAAGTTTCCGGTTACTAAAAATTAGATTAAAATCTAGCAAGACAAAAAATGAGAAAACAACTGCAGTAATTTTGTATGAAAAAGTGTTCAAATTTTTCTCAACACTTATTGCAAAATTAAAATGTTAGTAAATAAAGATTTAAAAATTGTAAAATCAATATTCAAAATTGTAAATCAATATTCAAAATGAACTTTCAGTTTAATAACTTTTATTTAAACTTTTAGAGAATAACAAAAGCATTAATTCCTCACTCAATAAAAACCAATTTACAAAAAAATGAATATGAAAATTTACATTCAAAAACTTAGCTATGAATGTAAAATCTTTTCATTAAATGATAAGGACTTAGTGTTTTTAAGAAAAAGTTATTTCTGAGATTGCATCAAATAACTAAATGGTTTAGTGTTAGTAAAAATTAATTTGAGAAAGTCATTTAGTTAACTTAATTTTGTACAAATGTAGCTTATTGAATAATATTTAAAATTAACTTAAAATGATGGAATTAAAATAAAAAATAGAGTATGATGAGATTATATGTAACAGTGTGATGACTACTTTTGTTTTTGTCCATAATTCTTGTGTATTGTTTATTGTAACTATAAAAAAAACTTTACTTACAAAGATATGTAGAGCAGAATCTGGAAGATAACTTTCAGCATCATCCTTTACTGCAATGCAAATGATTTTCCACATTTCTAAATTTGAAAGCATGTTTTCTAATTTTTTAAATGCTCCGGCTTCACCATGAGTATTGAATGACATTGCTTGCTCTAACTCCCCTGTCTTTAAATCAATTATAGCAATATTAAACCCTGGCCGATTTGGACTTATTTCAACACCATTGATCATTATTGATCCAATAGTTGCATCACAGTTGCTTCCATGAAAAGGTGGATCAAAACAACCAGTAGACTTGATAACAACTTGTAAATTTTTACCTAAAAATTATTGGCAACTTTTTTACAAATTTGATATAAATTTGAAATGTTTATAATTATTGTAAATATCTTTGTATGAAAATTATATTATAAATAAATATTTTCAAAAACATTCAAGTTTTTTTAACTAAAATATTTTAAAAGTGACTTAAAAAAACTAAAATAAACATTATTTAAAATATTTATTTTAAATAATGTTAATATAAAATATATAATAATTTAATATAAATTTTATATTTTAAAAACAAAAATAAACATTATTTGTTCTGTTTATGTTATGACTTTATATTAAAACATTACTTTTCAAATTTTTTATCTAAAATTTTTACCTTCTTGAGAATCCTGAGATTTTTCAACAGAATCTCTTCTAGTGTATCTTCTTGATTCCTTAGGATATATTTTCATTTTTAACTGTAGACTCTTCATAGAATTTATTGAAGTTAGGTTTTTATCTGTTGAATTTAACTTTTTATCTGCTGAACTTAATGTTTCGGCTCCAGAAATGCTTGCTAGAACTTTAAAGTTATCAAAAGATTTTTATTTGTTTTTTATAAAGAAAAATAAGATATCAATAACAAAACAGTCTCAGTCTATAAAAATAAGTTTATTTAAAAGTAACTTTATTGATTCAATAAGATTAATACATGCCTGGATAGAAAACATGCACAAATTACAATCCCACGAAGAACACACAAATGGCTAGAGGAACTGCATAGAGTACATGCCTGGAAAGTCACATGCACAAATAAAAAAATGTGATACCATCATTATAAGTTAAATTATGGAAGAAGAAGAAAAAATGAAAAAAAAAACATTTTTTTACTTTGTAAACACTTATATTTACAATGTATACTGATATTTACAATAGTTATTAAAAAATTATTATTACAAAATATAAAATAAATATATTTTATAACAAATAAAATAACTTTATTGAACCAAAACTTTCAGAAATAATATTAACTAATATCTAAAAGAAACTAATAAAAATAAATAAATATAATAAATTTATAAAAAAAAGATTTTATTTCATTTATTCTTGATGCTTAAAAACTTCTGTGTTTCTAACTGATTGGTAGTATTTGGGTTCATCCTTATTAATTGGTAGTTTAATTTTTTTTTTCATGGGACTGTTTGTTCATTCTTTGATTGTTCATGGGGTTTTGAAATATATTTTTGAATTAATTTATAAACAACATTTAGGTCTATAAACTCCATATTTTGATGTTGAGCATTTGTATGTGAAATGTTTTGTGCATTTTGTATCTCAGCTTGTTTAAGTTTACTGTAATCATATGGTAAGACAGCAACAGGAGCATTAGGTGAAAAAGACTGCCCCAATAAACTAGATCGAGTTTGACGAAAATTACTCCCATACATTTTGTTACTCCCATTTTTAAATTTGTATGAAGATTTATCATTCAAAGTTTGTAGCAAATTGAAAAGTTTTTTAAATTTTCCATGACTGACTACTTCTAAAAGATTCTTACAAAAAAAATTGTGTAACTTGTTGCAATACTCTTCAACCCATACAACTCCTGAATTTATTACAATACAGCAATTAATAACTTCGTCATTATAATTTATGCTTTTCCAATTTGGGTATGATAAAGGTTTTCTAAATTAATAGAAGGATATTTACAATTCTCTCTATTTATTTTCCCTTCTCTAATTATTTCATAAATTAAATAAATACAACTTTTTGATTGTATACAATAGATTAATTATGTAGATAGCATAATTATGTAGATAGCATAATTATGTAAATAGCACCATATTCATAAAAAAATAATTTGATAATACTTAATTCAAAATATATTTTAGCTTAAAAAGTAAAATAACATAAAATGGGACAGAAAACATAATACTTATTATATATAATATATATAATATGATTCAGTATTGTCATATTGTATTATAATATCATATTACATCATAAAAACAAAATTCACTACTTCGAGTGTTATAAAATCTGTAAAATTGCAAAAACTCTGTTGCAAGAGATGTTGATTATATACAAATATTGGTGTTACTATTTAAAAAATAATTATCTTATTAAATTGACAGTTAATAACATAATATTATTTAACCCTAGCCCCTAACAATAACTTATGATATTTATTTAACCCTAAATCATAACAATAACTTATGAAATTTATCTAACCCTAAACCATAACAATAACTTATGAGATTTATTTAACCCTAACCCCTAACAATAATTTATGACATTTATCAAACTCTAACCCCTAACAATAACTTATGACATTTATCAAACTCTAACCCCTAACAATAACTTATAACATTTATTTAACCCTAACCTTTAACAATGACGTATATTTAATTGAACCTTAACCCAAACCTTTTATATTATTATTTTTTTTATCTACATATGTATGTATATTTTAAAAACATGTTATACATTTTTTTGAACTTTTCTTCATCTCTTTAACTTTTTGTTAGCCATTATGGTTTTCTACTAGCTTCATTATATTCTTTATTTTCTGTTAGTTATTATGGTTATCTACTAACTTCATCGAATTCCTTATTTTCTGTTAGTTATTATGGTTATCTACTTAACTTTATTGAATTCTTTATTTTCTGTTAGTTGTTATAGTTATCTACTTAACTTCATTGAAGTCTTTTTTTCAGTTAGTTATTATGGTTATCTACTTAACTTCATTGAATTCTTTATTTTCTGTTAGTTATTATGGTTATCTACTTAACTTCATTGAATTCTTTATTTTCTGTTAGTTATTATGGTTATATACTCAACTTCATTTTTTATTTTTTAATTCTAAAGGTAATAATACATTTTCTGAAAAGATATACTAACATTATTGTTGCAATGCTGTTAAATTTTTAACATTCTTATTTATATTAAAACTTAGAAAAATCAAAACTTTATTTGATTTCAAAAAAAGTCTTTGGTGCTAGAGATACAAGTATTTTGATGTTTTTTAAATCTATTTATATTACTTATGTTTGCTTTATTTTTTATTTTGTTTTTTAAAAAGATTTTGATGCAGTAAATGCAAATAAATTTTTAGTTCAATAAATGTTTTGTTTTTTTAATTCAACCTTCATTATCACAAAATGATAGAATTATAAACTGTATCTTGGCCATTATTTTGTTTTAGTTTGTCTGCTGTCGAAATACAGTTTCAATTTAAATGCTCATGATTTTAAATTTACTTTATTAATTATTAGATAACAATTAGAGAAAAAGTTTCAAGCAATTTATGTAAAAATAATTTTTTATAATTAAAATCTCTACCAGGATGTTCAAAAATGTCAGAAATGAAAAAAGTTTTTTTGTTATAAAACCAAGAAATATTCTTGGTTTTATAACAAAAAACTTGAACTTTTTTTTTTATTAATTTTTTTTTTTTTCATTAATAAAAATTAAAAATAAACATATAACTAATTATTTCAAAATATTTTTCAAATACAAACTGTTTACTGTAAAAATATTATGAAGCAAAAGGTATATCAAATTGGTATAAGGTCAAAGGCTTACAAATTGATATTAAAGTATAAACATATCAGTTTCTAAAATAATTCAAAAGACTTATATGTAAACCATCTAAAATATATATTTGTGTAACTACACACATGACAAACTAATCAAACTGACAAGTTAAGATGACATAGGGAAGACATCTGTATGACATGATGTTAGTATCTCACTCTCTCTGCTGCCCACAAAAAACCAAACTAATAAGTGATTGAGTGAGAAAAACTTGTATTTCTCTGTTTTATTTTGTCATTTTTTTTTTAACTTTTTTTTTCAATTGGTAATCACAACGATATTATAGCAAAATGGGTTTACTAAAGCATAAATTTTAAAATTCTATAAATTTACTAAAATATATTTCTCTAAGTTCTTTATTAAATTTAAGAACACTAAGTAAAAACTGAAAATTATATATAAAAAAAAAAAAAATTATAAAGAGAACTAAATAAAGTTATATATTTATAATATTTTTTATTTTGTAAAATTTGTTAGCAACAATGAATTTTGTTTAATTCATTGTTTATTGTTTTTTAGTGAGTTAATTAATTATTAGTTACATTAATTATACAGTTCATTAGATCTTAAACTTAAAATTATGAACTTATTGAACTCAATTAATTTTGTATCAATTTTGTATCAATGGACTTAACATTGATTTTGTGAAGTTAACATTGATTTTGTAAAACTTTGTAAATTAAATTTCTGTGTTTTCATTTAAACTTTCTATTTAAACTTTCTATTTCAAAAAACTAAAATACAATCTTTTTAAACTAGAAAACAACATTGTGATATTTTCATTTGTACTGTATACTTAACAATATTATAAAGTAACTTTCTAGCAACACTTTTGTTAACAAGTTTTTTTTCTTTTGCAAGTTAAAAATTTAAGACAAAAACTTAATTTTTTTATATACAGGCCTCCTCAAAGTCAATGGGTGTCTGCAAAAAAATTGGTATTAGATATTCATCCCTTTATCAGAGGTTATATAATATTTAATATATAAATATTTATCAGAGGTTTAATCTGAAACAAGCAAAACTATAATTAAAGGTATATTAAATTATAGGTCATTCCATATTAAATCCCTTAATGTTCCCCAGGGTAACACCTCAAATTTGCTTCAAATTTTGACCACCCACAGTACTTATGAAAAAAATACCAACTCAAAATTTCAGCTTAATTGGCTAAACCACTCAAAAGTTATGATTGATTTAATATTGACAAAAATCAGAAAATTCAAGTACCTGGAGCTTACAGTAGATTTTTTTGATATTTGACAGAGCACAACTTTGTAAATAAAAAAAAGTAATCACCTGAAATTTTGTATGTTAATAGTTTTTAACCCAAATAATTTTGCAGGTGCTTTTGACTGATATTTAAACAATTCTTGAGTTTTTGTACCTCAAATGCAGTATTAGAAAAATCTTTGGAAACTTTAATGTGCTACAGTTCAATGCCAACAGACAAGCCGTGGCAATTTTTTGTTACTTTTGTGTACTTAGAGTAACCACTTGCGGAAAAAATTAAAATTAAGTCTTAAAAGGTATTTTATCAACCTGTTAAAATATCACTTTTTTAAAAAAGTACAATACATTACATTCACTTTGTAGGCATAGAAAATACTGTCGACAGTTAAAATAAATTATAAAACTTTTTACTGGCAAGGTTCTATATATAGACAATCATCAAAAAGATTTAAAGACCTATACTCTATCTTATGACATAATTTTTGCATTTTGAGTGCAAAGGATAGCTAATAGCACAAGTTATATTATGCTTCAAAAAAAATAAAAATAAAAAATGCTGAAAGAAGAAGTGTATATACACATGAAGTACAAGTACACTAATTTCTTTATCTCTGATTTACATAACTCATAACAATGTCATAATCATTATTAGCAAGTTTGTAGTCACAAGCACTTTAACCCTTGATTGATAGAGCACTTATTTTACATACTACTTTTTCAATTGGAGCCCAAGACTGACTTGATTGTGCATCA